GTACCGCATTCAATAATATATGTTAGCTACAAGTACACCGACTGTCTAACTGTCAGATTTATAATAGAAAAAATGATCGATAAACTAAAAGCGGATTAAATTCTGTGATGAGCTTGTCCCTAACCTATATTAAAATAAATACCGTTATTACAAAAAAAAAAATTTTTCTGTACTTATGAGAGTTGAAGTAATTTCTAGCAAGGTTACTATATACTTAGTCATAACCCAAGGGACCATATCATTGGAAAAATAGCCAAGTGTATTATAGGGTAAGGATATCATATTACCCATATGAGGATCATGTTGGAGGCGTTTCATTTCCTTAAAACTAATGTATATTTTTTTTATTTATTTTTTCAAGATATATGAAAGGACAAATTCAAAATAGTTTCATACAACTACATTCCATGTTGTGTGCTACATGTATCTTGGAGCATATCTTTGATTGGAATTGTGTTGCATACAAAATCACAATCATAATAATGCATTTCTCTCCTTATGTTTACTTCAAAACAATAAAGAATCGTTTTGTTCAACTTCTAACGGCTACAAATGAAGTTAACCGAATTGGATAAACGTTTTAACTAACGAACTAATTGAAGATTGAAAAATAAAATTTAAAAAATAACGAACATGAGTTTTGAACCTCTTTCTATATTTGGAGATGGTTCAGGTTCATCAGCCTCTGTATCACCAGCACGGCCTGAAACGTATCTTAAACTTACTGTCCTACATACGTAACAGAAAGACTTATTTATAAGCTCAAACTCAGCTGGAGGTGAGCTCAAGGGTGTTGATGATACTGCGCCTGGAATTCGAACACTGTTTGTGCATTGCATCCAAATAAAGACAAGTAAAAAATTAACTCGCTATATTTACAGAACATTTCAATACTGTTGCCCTTTTTATCGGCTAAAAATAAACAGCCACATTAATAAATGAAGCATATCTCAGTGTACGCAGAATGCCGATAATCATTAAAACTATTGACGATATAAAAAAATCAACTATTTTGATAAACAACATCTTCTGTTTTTACAGAGTTATCCCCCTTTTATAAACCGCAAAATGTCAACAATAGGGTCACGTCGTCAAACCTTCAGAAATAAGACCTGATTCTATTAATTTTCCGAGATTGTATTACATTGAACATTTGTCTAGTATTACTGTGTCAAATGAAGAATGTGTCGAACAATTGTAGAATTTATTTTTTCTTGAGAACTTTAACGTTATGTAACAGACGACAGACACATTAAAAGAAAAGAGATATTAAAATATCACGCATTGAATAGAGAAACGCAGACGAGTATCAGTCTATTCGGAATATTACTTGCTCGGTATTTTTCTAAGACATTCTATAACTCCTTCTAAGATAGATCATTCAGAAAAAAAACGAACAGGAAAGGTCAATGTAAAAGTAGGAATGGTGTATTGAGACACTTACGGAAAGGACAGAGGGCAGATGGAATGTCAGAGAGATTATCTGGAGATCATTTGTGTAAGTTCTCATCACCGTATGTCCATTGCAGGTAATAGTGGGCATCATGGACAATCCATCGCGCGTTACGGTATCTGCTAATTTCTAACTGCTTTCAGGGCAGCCAAATTAGGAAATTTAATTTGAAACTCAGTAGAGTTTCAAATGTTAATGGGTGTAACTGTACACGCCGTTAGAGTAAACATCCGCTGGGAATCGCGGTTCGGATGTTTATAATATTGCCGTGTCTCTACTGCTAAGGTCACACGATGATGGTGTTTATATTAACCAATGAAACAAATTAAGAATTTCTTTATTGTGATATCACAATGAGCTGTTCCGCCCTGGACACGACAGTATAACACAACAAGAGATCAAAGGAGCCTGTTCTTTTTTTTCTATTTCCTATTTCGGAATCATACGGGATAGAAGAAAACTCAAATTTATTCTTGCGAGGTTCCGCATTAGTCGCCTCATATGGGCGTGCCCAGTGCAATAGAAAACTCAAATATTTTGCGAGCTAAATTCACATTGGTCGCCTCATGTGGACATTAGCCATTGCTATAACAAGGAAGTTCATTTATTTTCCTCAGAAACTGCAGGGAACGAGAAATAATGTGATACCTTATGTACATACAGACAAAACACGTGCTATAGCGGGTGTAATAACAGTCGACGCTAGTGTGTTTTATTCAAAACAGGGCACATGATCGGATCGCTTATGAAATGTGTGAAAAACGTGATTTTTGGTTTTGCAAATGTATTAAAACCATAACTAAAAGCCAGGGAGATAACCGCACGGTCAAACAATCCCGTATAAGTACACCGATCTGTGTGGGTCTTTTTCTTGTATAAAAACAGCATCAACTTTCCGAATTGCCATAGAATGGAGTTCTAGTGTAGCTTTAAGGTGATTTGAAATGACAGTCGTAAACATCAGCGTAGTTGAATTGTCGCATTCCGAGAAAGAATGGCAACTGACCAATACGTCAAAGTGTGGGGTCAATTACGGTAATAATGGGGAAGACAGTGAAGTCATTTACTCCCTTCCGAACGGATGCATTATCGGGTGACATTTTGTTATCATGTACAGTTGCTCTGCACTGTAGTGTAGTATTTTACTACGTTCTGTATGGTAGACGACTTATGGAATCTTCCTCTACCTTAAAGATGTATTTTTTCATTTTTAAAGAGAAATTTCATTCCCTTGGGTTGATTATTTTGTTCTGTTATCCTTAGCTCGAGGGTAAGACAAACCAAACAATTAACCCGAGGGTAAGGGGTTACATACCTATATAATAAATCCGAAGGTTGAAGATTAGACATCATAACCCGAGGGTTGAATATTTTTGTTACAATGTACACTCTCAAGGTAGGTGCTGGTTCTATTGGTATCCTTCCTTTTATTTAAGTCATAACTCCACAGCCAGTATTCTGGTAAGTATAGAAACAAAACAAAACGTGTGGTGTATTATTTTGTTTGACATCACTATCGCTATTCACTTTTTAATGACGTCTGAGTTCCTCCATTTTACAAGAGGTGTTCCTGTCCTGGGACAACAGTTTGTCAACATCTAAAGGCTGCATCACTCGTATAAGCCATTACTCACACAAGCACCCGTACCCTCTCATTAAACATACTCCCTGCCCCAAAAACAAACATATTAAAATAACTCAACCACGTCCTCAATACACACAGCACACACTTTTACTCAAACATGCACCCACATCCCTCCTATCAAACACATCGGCACCCATTAAAAAGCATGCACCTTGCACCCTTCCTCAAACCGCACCCATACATACATTGTACTCTTTCATCGCTGGCCACCGAGTTTCGTTTTCATTAATTGCTGAAATAATGCGAGTGAGACAATGCTTCATTTAATAAAATATGGAACAATCATGTTCAAAATCTAATCAGTTTAAATAAGCACAAATGTTACGTTTCAATATTTTTTCCGATTAATTTGATTTTGATGAAATGAATATGACAAGATTGTTTTAACAACAGATAAAAATATGCTTTGTCATGTTGCTTGCCTGATAATCATCATTTTGTTTCACCAAATGACGCAGTTGCTATTTTCTATTTTAAATTACTGATGCAAATCTTCAATGGTATGTAATTAATCAAATGAAGATGTTTACAACACACGCCAGGAGTGGCTTTAACGTCATATTAAAAGATAAAACCCTCAAATTATTACCTCAAATAAGATTAGAGACATCTTTCGCGATTGGCGATGTATCAATTTCGGATAATAATTATAAACACAACCTCATGCAGTTATAAAACAGGAATTATTACTGCAACAAATGAAACTTCAAGAAACGCAAAAGCCGATCAAAGCACTCGAGTGAAAAATATGTTTGAGTGAGCCATATATAAGCAAACGGAAGGAAGTGTGACAACTCATCTGATGGCATGCTAATTTGACAGTTATTTTTTCTCTCTAATTGAGTTTTCGCAAATCTAAAATGTGAATAATTTATTGGTTTCCATGAAACACAGAATGAATACGGCTTCTCGTTTATTTGACACGTGACAAAGATGGCGATTACCCACTTCAAAGACCCAATTTACTCATGTGATCATCTTTTATCCCCTCCTTCACATGTGTTTCTGCAGTTTAAGCCGGGAAAGGTTATAAGACTCTTTCATGCCATGGCGTGTAGTTGAGCCATTGTGACGTCACGTCACGTGAAATGGGGTGTAAGATTAATAGAATCTTTCACCCCCTAGGGGGTGAGACAGGATAATCTCAACCCGAGGGGTAAGATTCTTAAGTTGTCAAACACAAGGCTTGCCGAGCGTTTGACAGCTTAAGAATCTTACCCCGAGGGTTGAGATAACCCTGTCTCACTCCCAAGGAGGATGAATGATTATTTTTCTCTTACCCTGTTTACCCTTGTATTTTATATAGACGTTACATCAATGCAAGACAATGTTGATGTGATGCGGCGGAATTGTCGACGTGACGTCATTGTATTGTTGCTGTGACGTCATGGTATTGTTGCTATGACGTCATGGTATTGTTGAGAACGTGCAAAGAACACGTGTAGCTTGTCTCAACCCTAGGGTGAGATCAGAAATTCTCCCACCCTTCACAGGTTCATTCCCGTTTTTGGTAGGGAAAAGATAAACCTGACTTGATCTACCTCGATCAAGACAGCTGACACGCGCTATTACGTCACAGACAACGCACTTCTTTAACCATGACCTATGACCCTGTGCACTTTCATCAAAAACGATTACATCATCACCTTTTACACACATGTAATACACATGTAAACAAACACTGTATAATGGCAAGACAACATCCCGACAATTCAAAATAGGCGAATGTGTTACCGTAGGAAGAAATGGTGAAAAGGGAAGAATTGTAGATGAAGTTAAACCATTAGGAACGTATGTTATGTTCAAAGTGCAATTATTTGGTAACGGTACTATCGTTACATTTGTACAGCGTCGAAGCATGAATTGGTAAAAGGGCTAGCAGACGACGAACTTGAGTTTGATATGCTTGATTTTGATGTGAGCAAATATCTGAGTGAAATATCCCATGCAGAAACACAGGCAATGCTACATGAGTTAGAGCAGGGACAATCTGAATCAATGTTGACCCCCCGACGATCACATACAACCCCGGCGCCCCCGGGCTCTCCTCAGCAGACGGCGACTGCCACAGCCCCACGCGTTGCCGGTAGATTTGTTAACATGGACGAAAATGACTTAAGAAACTTTGTGGACCAAAACGAGAATATTAACACGAAAAAGAAAACTCTTTGTCATATGAAACTGTTTGAACATTTTCTGAACGACGTAAACGAATTGCGCCAAATGCACCAAATCCCAACTACCGAACTCGATTCGCACCTTTCAAAATTTTTAATTTGTGTACGACAGAAAGATGGTAGCGAGTATCAACCCAGTTACTTAAGAGGGATGCTTGGCTCGTTTGAAAGGTATTTAAAACGTCATAGATATGGGTATAGTTTGATTTCCAGTCATCAGTTCGCAGGTACGAGAGAGGCGCTCAAAACCAAACAAAAAGATTTAAAAAAGAAAGGAATGGGGAATAAACCAATGGCAGCGGATGTTATCACCGATTCTGAAATAAACACTTTGTATGAGACAAAACAGCTAGGTAAAGACACACCTGAATCTCTGCTGAACACCGTATGGTTTAACAACATGCTTCATTTCGGGATGAGGGGAGGAGATGAGCACAGACAGTTATGCTGGGGTGACCTAAAACTTGGATATGACCAGGAACTTGAAAGAGAATTTTTACAATTTAACGAAAGACAGACAAAAACACGGACAGGTATAGACGTTACAAACACAAGGAGTACAAAGCCAGCAATGTACGCGGAACCCGGTAGTGACAAATGTCCAGTAGAAACGTACAAAGCTTACAAGGAAAAGCGACCTGTCAATTTTTGTGATGACGAACACCCATTTTACCTCGGTACGGTGACGCACAGCAAAACTCCCCACCAACGCGACCAGTGGTTTTTGAGAGCCCCTGTTGGGCGCAACAAACTGTTTAAATTAATGAAAACATGACAAAAAGTGGAATGTTTACTAACAGGTCCGAAAACAATGTTGTGCAAAAAAGATTGACAAATACCAGTGTTCGCAAATACACGTGTCAAAAACTTTTGGACGAAAACATTCCAGATGCACAGGCAATCACATGAACCGGTCACAAAAACATTCAATCTTTGAACAATTACAGAAAAGTCAACAATAAACAAAAACAGAAGATGTCGTCTCTTCTCTCAATGACAAATCCACCAAATAAAACCGTACAAACGGACTTAGGACGACACACTGGGTCTAGTGCACCTACCTCACATCGGCCAATGTCAAACGAACAGTCAACAAATATTACACATGTGACTACAGCGCACAACAGCATGTCCTTGTGCGAACCTGAACGCGTTCGTAAATTAAAATCCAATGAATGTGAAATCCCAAGTATCTTCCAAGGCACAACAATCACTGGAGGAACCTTTAACATAACTATAAACAATAACACAACGATGTCAGCCCCCAAAACGAAACGACCGAGGGTGTTGTATTCTGACTCCGAGTGAACTTTTCGAAGCGTGAAGTCAGGGAGTGCAATTAGTTCTGTGTGTTTTCGTTAAAGACACTATATCGCTTAATCTTATGACAAATAACGTTGCTAATACTACTAATGTATAAAATATCTAAATTTAATTATGACTTCTATTTATTATTGACGTTGCGGATTTTTTTTACACACATTTGCAGTACAGCGGCTATGCGTGTATTCATGCGCCATTGATGATAGTACGGTGCATCGGGGTCAAAAATTGAGAGATTTCTCTGTCACACCCTCGAGGTAGGGAAGATTCTATTGACCATGTAAGTAGTGTTAGTTTGTTTTCATGTTGTTTCCTGAATGTAATCCATTATGTTGGTAGACCTTACTTATCTTTTCATCAATCCCTTTTTTGCACGAATAAAATAATGAATTTCTTCTTTTGCCATTTCTATCGAGACTAAATCATTTATATTGAATAAGTGTTTTGTGAATTCGTTGCATTCATCTCGGCGTACAAATGAGGAAAATATTATAGAAACAACTTTCATTCAACTTAGATGAAATCAACTTCGGTTGTTTCCGTAAGTATTCGGGTGAGGACGTGTCGGGTGGATGTCACGTGGTGTAGGGTATATATAGGGAACACGCGCTAGGAGCGTTCTTTTGGAGTTCCTTGCTCATCACCGTATCTATACATGGACATTTTCTTATATAAAGTGTAAGGATGTGTTTTGATAAACACATTCAAATGCAAGTATGTGTAGACGTATGTTGGCCAGTGCGGGTACGGTGTATAGTGGATAGTACAGGTGTGGTTTGTATATGGTTGTGGATTGTAATAAATGAATGAGCAAAGAGCTATAATCCCATTTATGTCTTGTGTTATCATTTAAATTTAATTGATTTATATTCGGACGAATATAATGAGGGAGAATATAACTCATATTTATGTCAGCGATGACCTGCAATGGACGCATTTGATCAGTGAAGTGATTTTCTTTTAGAAGATTAACAAATACTTTGTTTGAATAATAAACTTAATTCTTGCTCTACAGCGTGTTTGTTGTCATTCAATAAAAACGTAATGTAACATGTAAGTCTAAAACCTAAAGCGATAAGATGGCCAGTCCAGCAGGCGACTCTCGCTCGGCTATTACGCAGCAGAAATACAATCAACTGTTCCAAAAAAAACCTTAACATGCTATTGACCACGTCTGTCACTGACTATGTTTCACAGATGTGTCTGATGGTATCGAACTGGCCCGCGAGACAAGCAGACGATATCCGTCGCGCGTGCTTTTGACCAAATATACATCCATTTCGTTGTTACTTCGTTTCACCGATCACGCACACTCAAGATATGCGACATCACGTGACACCATGGGTCTTCACGTCATTCAGTGGCGGCATATCACCAAGAACGACAACTCCGGACGAACCCGTACGCCGTTAAACGTGCGCATCACTGTATCGTACACAAACACGAAACAATCTTTAGATTGATGATCAAATTTTACAAGAAAGACAAGAGGCCCATGGGCCTTAACGGTCACCTGATATATTTATACAGAGAGTTGATTTTGTTTTTAACACGAACAGAAATATTATTCAGTGACAAAAAAACAATAAAACCACCTTATTCAATATCTAGCATACAGATTTAAGACTAAAAAGTATTTGAAACTAGCACCTCTGATTCTAAACAAGGAAAATGAAGAAATTTTAGCACACTGACTCCTTTGGGCCCCACCCTACAGCCCTTGGGGGTAGGGCTGGCTCAATATGTATCAAACTGTCAACTCAGGGTTATAATTCCAATCAAGTTATTAACATGTAATAATCAAAGTATCATTTGCCTTTATAAACCATAACAAATGTTGCCCCCCCCCCCCTCCTTTCCCAGGGGGTAAACGTGAGACCCTAGGGTCATAAACCTTAAGACCCTTCCATCTATGAAGAGTGTTTGATTCTACCATATCTGGGTTTTTGAGAAGAAGATTTTTGAAATTTTAGTCAATTTGACCCTTTTTGGCCCCGTCCCTGGGGGCCGGGGACCAAACCGGCAACTGTTTTTGTTGACCTTTGGCCATGGAAGGTTTCTGCAAATTTTCATTGAAATTGGTTCAGGGGTTTTGGAGAAGAAGTCGAAAATGTAAATTGATTACGGACGCACGACGGACGACGACGGACAAAAGGCGATCGCAATAGGTCACTTGAGACTTTGTCGCAGGTGACCTAAACATCTTAGAGGTAAGTTGTTTGTACCTTGGTAAAAAATCTTCGACGCGGGGAGGGAGAGGGAATGATCTACTGTTCCAATCTAGCCGTAAAAATACCCCCACTGTACACGTGGAGCTAGCTAAATTAGAAGTCACCAATAGCAAGCTGTCTAAATCAGTAAGATGCTGGTATCAGATTGAAAAAATGTGGACATTTGATTTGCTGGAAACGATTCTTGCCTTTGTTTATGTCTAGGATACATTTAAATGTTCACTAAACTACAAGGAGAACATTTTACCCCGTTTCATTGCTTCAGGAACAGTAGCGGTTTGTAAACAAAGCTACGAGTTTAATCTTTTATTGTCGAAATTCAATTACGAAGTACCATTCCGTCTGTCGCGTAAACGTATGTGTTGAAATAGGCAACACAACATTTGTATCAGGTAATCTAGATAAGTGGGACCTGGTAAGTGACTAAAGGGCAATTGTTTCAAGCGAATGGTGAAAGTTGAACAACCCCTGCCTTGTAACGTGACGGCACAGTCCGTATCTGAGACCTAACTCTCCAAACCCGACGCGGCGTGCTCAGCTGCACTCTGGAATACCGACACCGTTAACGTTGCTAGGATTTGTTTTCCAAATTACTTTGTGCATTTGTACAGATCGAACATTTCGAAGATGGAATGTACAAGAATGTGGGTTTAAAGTAAATCCTGGAAAATGGTTATCAATAACAATGGTGAGAATATAGCCATGCCTAACTACAAGAAACCATTTCTTCCTTTCAGTATCATGCCCCTGATACGGAATTGCAAAGAAGATACTTGTCCCGAGGTTTGAACCCTTGGGTTTCGACAACGACTAAATGTAAAATTATGTCGATATACAGTAATGTTTTTAATGTTTTAAAATGGCGGTCAGATCATTTCTTCTTTTTCTCAAAAACGTACGTGCAGTAGATCAATGTGCAATCATCGTCATTCGTTCTGTAGATAACGGACCTAAAACAGCAAACCCCGTCAGCGGTCTGCATACATAAGCGTGATGTTATCTACCGTATTACGCATATATGGACGTTAACATTTTAATATTAATGGTCAAGTCAGACACATCAAAATATGAAGGAGACTTTCTTTAAAATGTATATATTACATATGATATTCGTCACCCATTTCTGAATTACAGAAGATAAGCATCATTAGGTCCATTGTCCATGTCCTTTCGATTGTACCGTGTTTTCGCCCAGCGGTCAGTTATATCCACGGCTAACAGATAACAGAATCGAAATCAATTTTATAATTTACAATGTACACGGCGGTGACATGTCTTAGACCGTATCTGCTCGAAGTATTGTTGCCCGACATTACTAGCTCTGTATAAGTATAAACTAAAAATAGGACAGTGGTCAGCCATCGAAAACGTATCATATAGTTTCTATATTCAAAGGATTTTTTTTTTTTTTTTAAAGAGGCGAAATGAGGAGCTCCGAAAGGTTCTAACATGAAACATATCTACGAAGCACGTACTGATCACAGAGAAAACTGTTTTATGTCGTAATAACGACTTACTTTCTCGTCAAAACTACATAGCTATCTCGTAATCACGATATAACTATGTCGAAATTTCGACTTATTACTATCGTGTACAATGTAATAACGATATAACTTCGTTAATATGACACAGTAAGTCGTAAATACGAGATAGCAAGTCGTTAATATGACATAGAATGTCGTAATTACGTGATAGAAAGTCGTTATTACGACATAGCTACATTATGTATGTCGCTGTTACGAGAAAACTATAATTATGTCGTGTTACATGTAACAACATACAATATTGCTACGACGTTCTAAACGTAGTTACAAAAAGATGTATTACGAGATAGTAAGTCGTTATAACGACATAAACAAAATCTGTGACCCGTACCGGCTTCCGTACATATCATATATATTCTAAAGCGTAGCTTGACGGGTAAAAATTACATGTAATACTCACCGGTTGACACCGAAGTCCGTCCTGAATCCTCAGTGTAGCTATATAGTTTACCCGTACGTTTATCCCTGTAGGTTTTTATATATACTGCTGCACCCTAACACGTGTACATAGACAACGAGGAGCTCCACAGACACACGTTTTGGTCGTATTTTTAGCTGAAATGATAATTATTTCCAAATAACACAAACAATAAAATAGTAAACAAAGTCAAACCGTTGTCGTTCCGGTCTGTCTTACAAAAGCACCACGCGCTCACGTGCGCAAGTTCCTCCTATAA